TTCGTGATTTGGTTCTCAGTGAGGAGATCCGACGGAGAGAAACGGGTGAAGCTACAACCTCTTCAGTATTGCATACAGAGTCAAGAGGTAGAAATTCAACCAGAAACGGACGAGGAAAATCAAACTTCAGAGGTAGATCAAAGGACAGGAGGTCCAAATCAAGGAATCCAAGCAACAGCTCGAAGGCTATCGAGTGTTGGAATTGTGGAAAGACCGGGCATTACAAGAATCAGTGCAAGAGTGCACAGAAAGAGAAGGAGGCAAAGGCAGAGGTGAATGTCACATCCACTTCAGGAGGAGACGACGCATTGATATGCTCTTTGGAGAGCAAGGAGGAATCTTGGGTGTTAGATTCAGGAGCGTCGTTCCACGCTACTTCTCAGAAAGAATTCTTCGAGAAGTATACCCCCGGAAAACTTGGATACGTATATCTTGGTGATGATCAACCGTGTGCTATAGTGGGCAAAGGCGTGGTGAAAATTAAGTTGAACGGGTCAGTATGGGAGCTGAAGGATGTCAGGCATATTCCCGACCTGAGAAAGAATTTAATATCCGTAGGCCAGTTGGCTGGCGAAGGATACACCACAACCTTCCATGGAGATGATTGGAAGATCTCAAAGGGCGCAATGATAATTGCCCGAGGCAGGAAGACTGATGCCCTATATATGACAGCAGGTGCACGTTGTTCGATCTCAGTTGCAGCAGGCAATGAGACTTCAAAGCTGTGGCACCAGAGACTCGGTCATATGAGTGAAAAGGGGATGAAAATCATGCACACAAAGGGAAAACTTCCAGGACTACAGTCAGTGGAGATGGATATGTGTGAAGAATGTATACTTGGAAAGCAGAAGAGAGTCAGCTTTCAGACAAGTGGCAGAACCCCCAGGAAGCAGAAGCTAGAGCTCGTTCACTCAGATGTTTGGGGACCAACCACCACTGCGTCGATTGGTGGCAAACACTACTTCGTGACTTTTATCGATGATCACACTCGGAAAGTGTGGGTTTACTTTCTAAAGCATAAGTCAGAAGTATTTGAGGCTTTCAGGAGATGGAAAGGTATGGTTGAAAATGAAACCGGTCTGAGAATAAAGAAGCTCAGGACCGACAATGGCGGTGAATATGAAGACACCGGATTCAAGAAGTTCTGCTATGAGCACGGGATCAGAATGGAGAGAACCGTGCCCGGCACGCCTCAGCAAAATAGTGTAGCTGAGCGGATGAACCGAACGTTGACAGAGAGAGCCAGAAGCATTCGAGTACAATCAGGCCTACCGAAGCAGTTCTGGGCAGAAGCGGTCAACACAGCAGCTTACTTGATCAACCGAGGTCCATCGGTTCCATTGGAGCACAGAATACCAGAGGAGGTATGGTGCGGAAAGGAGGTAAAACTCTCACATCTTAAAGTTTTCGGTTGTGTAGCTTACGTGCACATTAGTGATCAAGGCAGGAATAAGCTTGATCCTAAGTCAAAGAAATGCACTTTCATCGGTTATGGTGAAGATGAGTTCGGCTACCGCATTTGGGACAACGAAAACAAGAAGGTGATCAGGAGCAGAGATGTGATATTCAACGAGAAGGTGATGTACAAGGACATGCACAAGATTGACGACTCAGAGAGCGAGTCCACATTTATAGATGCAGATGATGTCCCGAGTAACCTCTCGAAAGAACCTAATGCAGAGGGTCCTCAGCAAGAAGAGCATGTTGGACAAGATGGTGCACAGGAGCCCGACGCACCAGCTCCGATATTAAGAAGATCCTCTCGTCCTCCTGTACCCAACAGGAGATACATGAACTATCTGTTGTTGACAGATGGTGGGGAGCCTGAAAGCTTTGATGAAGCTTGTCAGTGTGGAGATGCGAGCAAGTGGGAGCTTGCCATGAAAGATGAGATGAAGTATCTCATCTCAAACCAGACGTGGGAACTAGCTGAGTTGCCTACGGGTAAGAAGACACTCCACAACAAATGGGTGTACCGGGTGAAAGAGGAGCAGGATGGTTCCAGAAGGTATAAAGCCCGACTAGTTGTCAAAGGTTTCCAGCAGAAGGAAGGAATCGACTACACCGATATTTTCGCTCCCGTGGTGAAGCTAAATACTATCAGGACCGTGATGAGTATTGTAGCAATTGAAGATCTTCATCTCGAGCAGTTAGACGTGAAGACGGCGTTTCTTCACGGAGATCTAGAAGAGGAGATATACATGCACCAGCCAGAAGGTTTCTCAGAAGAAAAGAAGAAGAACCTGGTGTGCAGACTCAAGAAGAGCTTGTATGGCCTGAAACAAGCCCCAAGACAGTGGTACAGAAAGTTTGACGGCTTTATGCACAAGGAATGTTTTTAGAAGTGCAACGCCGACCACTGTTGCTACTTCAAAAGATATCAGTCCAGCTATATCATCCTACTGCTGTATGTTGATGATATGTTGGTTGCAGGAGCAGATATGGAGGATATCAAGAGTTTGAAGCAGCAGCTGTCAAAGGAGTTTGACATGAAGGACTTGGGTCCAGCGAAGAAGATCCTTGGAATGCAAATCACGAGAGATAAGAAGAGAGGTCTCTTGCAGTTATCTCAGACGGAGTACATCAACCGTGTTTTGCAGAGATTCAACATGGGCGACGCCAAGCCTGTGAGCACACCCTTGGCTAGCCATTTTCGTCTGTCGAAGGATCAGTCTCCTCAGTCAGAAGAAGAGAAAGAGAGTATGGCTCAGGTACCTTACGCCTCAGCTATCGGAAGCTTGATGTACGCTATGGTCTGTACGAGACCAGACATTGGCCATGCAGTGGGAGTGGTCAGCCGGTTTATGTCGAATCCAGGAAAAGCTCATTGGGAAGCGGTCAAGTGGATTCTGAGATATCTACGAGGCACCACACAGAAGTGTTTGCACTTTGGTAAGGGAGAGGTAGAAGTGCAAGGGTACGTAGATGCAGACTTCGGCGGCGAAGTTGATCACCGAAGAAGTACCACCGGCTATGTATTCACCGTTGGAACTATAGCTGTTAGTTGGATGTCACAGGTACAGAAGATTGTTACCCTATCCACTACAGAAGCTGAGTATGTTGCAGTGACTGAAGCCAGTAAAGAGATGATATGGCTTCAGGGTTTGTTGACAGAGCTGGGATTCAAACAGGAGAAGAATGTTTTGCACAGTGATAGTCAGAGTGCGATACACTTGGCGAAGAATTCAGCATTTCATTCCAGACGAAGCATATTGCGCTTCGGTACCACTTCATCAGATCCCTGTTGGAAGATGACGTGTTGAAACTGGAAAAGATTCCAGGAAGTAAGAATCCAGCAGACATGTTAACAAAGACGGTGACAGTTCAGAAACTGGAGTTGTGCGCAACTTCAGTTGGCCTTCATGCATAGATGATGAGAGCGGAGCCACACAGGAGAGGAGCTTGATGAGATAGCCTGTTGACGTCGGTTTGGTCTCCAAGTGAGAGATTGTTAGAATTGGGGGTGGAAACAAACCTCTGACGGCGGAGGAGCTCCGACGAGCTCCGACGAAGCTCGAAGCCCAGGCGATGTTGTCGACAGCTCCGACGAGCTCCGACGAAGCTCGAAGCCCAGGCGATGTTGTCGACGACCAGACGCAGGCGACAGATGAAGCTCGAAGCTCGAGCTCTGCGTTCGAACCCCCCTCAACTCTGCGTTCGTCGACCTCGGCGTTTTTGAGCGACCTCTGCGTTCGCCTCGAAGTTGGCGTCGAAGCGGTCACTGGCGACAGGCTGTCGCCAGCCCATCCTCTCTCCATATATAACCCCCTCTCCAGCCTAGGGTTTGTTGCTGCTGAAGCTTCCCCCTCTCCTCCGATTTCTCTCTGGCAGCGAAGCCCCAAAACGCAGTTGCGTTTCCAATTAAATCACAGCAGTGATTTCATTCATCTCCATCTCTCAAATTGATTTTTGAGGGGAGATTAAGAAGTGGATTAAAAAGAGAGAGAAATAGAGAATTAAAAAGAGGGATTTAATTGTGGGGTATTTATTCTCAAGTGAGAATTGAAAGGGTTCATACCCTTTGATTATTAACACTGTAGCTACAGTGTTTATTTGAGAAATCTCAGTTTTGAGATCCGCTCCTAAATTGTAATTTCTTGTTTAATTAATAAGGAAATTATCTGTGTGGCTCCCGAGGACGTAGGCAGTTGCCGAACCTCGTAAATCTTGTGTACTGTTTTCTATTCTGCGTTTCTGTTGCATTAGGGGTTTCAGCGTTAAATTCCCAACATAAGACACGTGCTCACGCATCACCTGTCCACGTAGCTCGAGCCATCACGGTAATGAGCAGCGAGCCCCCGCTTCATTGAGGGGCTGTTTGTTTTGTTGTTTTTGAGAGGTTTTAAGAGTGGAAAGCTGACATTTTGTCAGAAAATGTCAGTTTTTCACCCTTAAAAAAAAGGGAAAATCCTCTTTTAACCCAAAGTTTTACCCCAACTTATTTAAAAACCCATTCACTTTTCAAAACATCAATAGACCCACAAAATCACATCCCACTTATTTTTAAACCCAAATGTACAATACACCCATTATTTGTACTGTATTTATCCAAAAAATTTGAAAAATCCTAAACTACCCTTCATCCCCAACTGATCTCTCCCTCTCCCCTCCTCCTCCATCTGAGCTCAGAAGAGATCTCTCCCTCTCCCCTCCTCCTCCTCTTCCCTCCCTTCACTTCCCCTCAACCACTACCACCAACCTCCTCCTCTTCCCTCCCTTCACTTCCCCTCCTCCCTCAAGCCCATCAACCTCTGCATCCACTGCCCCTATCTCCCCTCGCCGCCACGTCACCCACCACCGACGACCTTGAAGTAGATGAATAGCCCACCAATGATTTCGACATTGACTCCCTGTAGTTCGCCCATCAACCTGAAGCACTTGTCATTGCCGCCAGTGGACGGAGCTTGAGGAGCACTCGGAGTAATGGCGGAGGTCGAAGACCGCCTGGCTTTGTAAGGAGCTGCTTTCGCATAAGCCGACGACGATGGTGAGGATCCTTAGCGCTCAAAGGAAGTGGGTTCGGCAGAAGGAGGTGGGTTATGTTGTTCTCCATTGCAAGTCAGGTTAGTTCAACTCTTTGTCCACCACCTGTTTGTTGAATTTATGCTTAGTGTTCTCTCTTATCAATATTTGATTTTGATTTTGATGATTGTTGGTTACTCAAATTCCAACTGCCTGGCAACCTCAAAAGAAGAGCGTGCTCACGTGTCTGCCCAACCTCAAAACCGCCAGCGGTGGAGTCAATAACCAATACTGCACAGTCAGCTTGAGAGGTACCGGTAATCATGTTCTTGATGAAATCACGATGCCCAGGAGCATCAATAATAGTGCAGTCGTATGTGGTGGTCTCAAACTTCCATAGAGCATTGTCAATGGTCAGCCCTCTTTCCTCTCGGCCTTGAGCTTGTCAAGAACCCATGCATACTTGAATGACCTCTTGTTCATCTCAGAAGCTTCCTTCTCGAAACTCTCAATTTCACATTTCCTGACAGCTCCCAACACTGCAAGTTGTCAGCTTGTCTCTCTTATCAATATTTGATTTTGATGATTGTTGGTTACTCAAATTCTAATTTATTGTTCTGTCATTCTAAAATCTCATGAACCTACAACTTGCAGCCTGTCCGTGATCGCTTCAAAAATAACGCTGATGCCAAAAAGCTATTGGAAAAAGTGAAGGTAACATTTACTTGATACTCAATTGCTCATAAGATATGTACATTCATGAGATATCAACCATGACTTACATAACTATGGTTCCTCTCTGGACATTATGTTTTAAAATTAGAACTATAGTTCTTGCTTGCATTTATGAATAGAATTTTCCTTAGAGTTGGTGATTGATGTGAAAATCCTCCCTCTTTTTGCAAGCGTACAAAGTTACTAGGTGATTATTCTTACTTGTTGGTGTTGGGAATGGTGACGAGTTGTAACATAAAAATTCTAATTTTCTTATTGCTTGGTGGTCCTTCAGATTCTTATTGTTCTTGTGGGTTTTGATAATTCGAAGCATTACGACATCAAAATCGATATTACTTTCATGTATTTTGATTTGGAAATGCACGATAAGTTAGAATTGATATTGCATAAAAGCTTATAGATGATTCCTTTGAAAGTGGTATGAAGCCTCTTATGCTAGCATTTCTCGATATTACTTTCATGTATTTTGCTTTGGAAATGCACGATAAGTTAGAATTGACAGTTAATAAAATTTTCTTATCATGCAATCATTGATTGTGACATTTATTTGTGCAGGAGCGTAGATTGTAACATTTTTATGGTGGGATACATATATTCCATCATCAATGGCACACCTAACGTAACGCACAGCTACCCCTCAATCAGAAACCATTCGTCAATGCACACTAACTTTCCAATCAAATACATGAGAGAATCCCCCACTATTGGCATTCGATCAGATCTTCGCATTGCTGTCACATTGCAACCCAAACGGCAAATCAACTACAGCCTGCAATATGATGTACCAAGTAGTATCCAATGTATCGTGTTGTATGAAATTTTCTATATTATGTATATATAGATGATTTGTGTGCATATTGTATCAAATGCACTATCCAATGTATCATGTTGTATCAAATTTATCAGTGTAACTAGTAGAAATGTATCTAGTAGAAATGTATACAACGTTTCGATAGTGGTGATTTTGGATTATTTCCATTCAATCTTCATGGATTATTTTCATTCAATGTTATGCGCTTGAGTTTAGTGGTTGATAGATATGAATATCTGTAATGAACTGATGCACTGATTGAACTGAAGAAATTTTGATGGTAGGTTGTGTTAACTACAGCCTATTGGGCAATATTATGTGTCGCGTGACCAATTATCCACCTCGACGAGGGGTACTCGCTCAATTTTTAGATTTTGATAAAGTATAGCACTTTATGGGAAAGTATAGCAGCTTATTGATAAAGTATAGCACCTTATTATAAAGTATAGCACCTTATGGCAATAGTATAGCACCTTATCGATAAAATATAGCACCTTTTGGTCGCTGGAAATTCAGCAACTTATTGTGATAAGTCAAATCAGTTTTTTTAGGGCAATGCAAACACTCGACGACCTACGTGACGTGTTTATTGACCAATCATCCACCGTGACGGGGGGTCCTCGCGCAATTTTGAAGCTAGCACCATCAAAATTTCTGAGCTCCGAGTCGTCGCGACCATTTTAGTTTTTTTCCGCGCGACGAGAACACTCGGCGACCGACGCGTCGTCGTAATAGGCCGATCATCCTCCGCGTCGGCCGGTCCTCGCCTAATTTCGAAGCTTCAGGCAAAGTATAGCACCTTATTGCAAAGTATAGCACCTTATGGCCAAAGTATAGCACCTTGTTGCAAAGTATAGCACCTTATGGCCAAAGTATAGCACCTTGTTGCAAAGTATAGCACCTTATGGCCAAAGTATAGCACCTTACGCTCTCTGGAAATTCTGAGCTCCGAGTCGTCCAGAACCATTTCAGTTTTTTTCCCCGCGGCGAGAACACTCGGCGACCGACGCGTCGTCGTAATAGGCCGATCATCCGCCGCGTCGGCCGGTCCTCGCCCAATTTCGAAGCTTCAGGCAAAGTATAGCACCTTATTGCAAAGTATAGCACCTTATGGCCAAAGTATAGCACCTTACGCTCTCTGGAAATTCTGAGCTCCGAGTCGTCGCGACCATTTCAGTTTTTTTCCGCGCGACGAGAACACTCGGCGACCGACGCGTCGTCGTAATAGGCCGATCATCCGCCGCGTCGGCCGGTCCTCGCCCAATTTCGAAGCTTCAGGCAAAGTATAGCACCTTATTGCAAAGTATAGCACCTTATGGCCAAAATATAGCACCTTACGCTCTCTGGAAATTCTGAGCTCCGAGTCGTCGCGACAATTTCAGTTTTTTTCCGCGCGACGAGAACACTCGGCGACCGACGCGTCGTCGTAATAGGCCGATCATCCGCCGCGTCGGCCGGTCCTCGCCCAATTTCGAAGCTTCAGGCAAAGTATAGCACCTTATTGCAAAGTATAGCACCTTATGGCCAAAGTATAGCACCTTACGCTCTCTGGAAATTCTGAGCTCCGAGTCGTCGCGACCATTTCAGTTTTTGTCCACGCGACGAGAACACTCGACGACCGACGCGTCGTCGTAATAGGCCGATCATCCGCCGCGTCGGCCGGTCCTCGCCCAATTTCGAAGCTTCAGGCAAAGTATAGCACCTTATTGCAAAGTATAGCACCTTATGGCCAAAGTATAGCACCTTACGCTCTCTGAAAATTCTGAGCTCCGAAATTGGTCGAGGACCCGATGCGGCGGATGATCGGCCTATTACGACAACGCGTCGGTCGCCGAGTGTTCTCGTCGCGCGGAAAAAAACTGAAATGGTCGCGACGACTCGGAGCTCAGAATTTCCAGAGAGCGTAAGGTGCTATACTTTGGCCATAAGGTGCTATACTTTGCAATAAGGTGCTATACTTTGGCCATAAGGTGCTATACTTTGCAATAAGGTGCTATACTTTGCCTGAAGCTTCGAAATTAGGCGAGGACCGGCCGACGCGGCGGATGATCGGCCTATTACGACGACGCGTCGGTCGCCGAGTGTTCTCGCCGCGGGAAAAAAACTGAAATGGTTCTGGACGACTCGGAGCTCAGAATTTCCAGAGAGCGTAAGGTGCTATACTTTGCAAATAAGGTGCTATACTTTGGCCATAAGGTGCTATACTTTGCAATAAGGTGCTATACTTTGCCTGAAGCTTCGAAATTGGGCGAGGACCGGCCGACGCGGCGGATGATCGGCCTATTACGACAACGCGTTCGAAGCTTCAGGCAAAGTATAGCACCTTATTGCAAAGTATAGCACCTTATGGCCAAAGTATAGCACCTTGTTGCAAAGTATAGCACCTTATGGCCAAAGTATAGCACCTTATTTGCAAAGTATAGCACCTTACGCTCTCTGGAAATTCTGAGCTCCGAGTCGTCGCGACCATTTCAGTTTTTTTCCGCGCGACGAGAACACTCGGCGACCGACGCGTTGTCGTAATAGGCCGATCATCCGCCGCATCGGGTCCTCGACCAATTTCGGAGCTCAGAATTTTCAGAGAGCGTAAGGTGCTATACTTTGGCCATAAGGTGCTATACTTTGCAATAAGGTGCTATACTTTGCCTGAAGCTTCGAAATTGGGCGAGGACCGGCCGACGCGGCGGATGATCGGCCTATTACGACGACGCGTCGGTCGCCGAGTGTTCTCGCCGCGGGGAAAAAAACTGAAATGGTTCGCGACGACTCGGAGCTCAGAATTTCCAGAGAGCGTAAGGTGCTATACTTTGGCCATAAGGTGCTATACTTTGCAATAAGGTGCTATACTTTGCCTGAAGCTTCGAAATTGGGCGAGGACCGGCCGACGCGGCGGATGATCGGCCTATTACGACGACGCGTCGGTCGCCGAGTGTTCTCGCCGCGGGGAAAAAAACCGAAATGGTTCGCGACAACTCGGAGCTCAGAATACTCGATTTCGGATTTTTTTCTCCGCGACAGAACACTCGATTTCGGTTTTTTTCAGTTTTTTTCTCCGCGACAGAACACTCGATTTCGGATACACAAGCTAATTAAAGTAGTTACACCACAACACAAATAGATATAACAATAAAACTAACTGAAATAACATTAAAACTACTGAAGTAATTACACAAAAGTTACAATAATCAAAATAGTTTGTTTTTTGATCTTCACCACCAAAACATAATCAACCCATAATAACTGAAGTAGTTACACAAAATTTACAATAATCAAAATAGTTTGTTTTTTGATCTTCACCACCAAAACGTAATCAACCTATAATAGGTCCATGAAGATCACAATCAAACTGATTTGAAAATATTCAAAAGCATGATATTTCAATCAGCTATTGGTTGGTTACATGTTCGTCGATTGTGACCGAACTCCTTACATCGGCTACACTTCAACATTCTAGAAGGATTTAGTCCAGAAGGGATCCGCTTTGTTTTTGGCCTTCCTCTACGAATCGAGGTTAATGGAGGTCTAATCTCCATATTCTCATCCGTTATAATTGGCTTCTCATCATCAGGAATTGGATATATGGGAAAGGAGTAACACTTGCGGTACACCTCCGTGCTGAAATAGTCAGAAATATATGGATACAATAGCTGATCTTTGTGCCTGATTACGGCGGCCGCATGCTTGCAAGGTAGTCCAAGAACTTGCCATTGGCGACAAGTACACGTGCGGTACTCCAAATTCACTCTAACAGATGGGGAATCATATACTTCATACAGAATCGACGTAGAAGGATTAACATGAAGACAACGTGCACCCTCGTTGATCAGGACAAGATGCTCCTCTACACTAGGAACAAGTGGTGTAGTCCATTTGTTGGATTCCTCACGTCTATCGTAGCTCATTTTCATCATCTTCACCCGGATGTGATCAACCAACTGCGCTATCGGTAAAAATCGGGCTTCCTTAATCCATGCGTTGAAGGACTCAGCTAGATTTGAGGTTAACCACCCATACCTGCAACCATGTTATAGCTATAGGATTATTCAAATGTTATACATGTTCAAACACACATATCAGAGAGTTCAATCACAAAGACCAAAAATATGTAAAAATGGTGACCTCTTTCCAGGAAAATAACAATTAGCCCAGTTCTGTGGGCTCATATTCAGCATTTCAATGAAAGCAATAGATGACTTATTCTGGAGCTCGTTGCATTCATTATGATAAGCATGCATTGTGTAGGCATAGGCAGCTCTCTTCATAATTTGAACACAATCATCCCTAAGTGGTGCTAGTAACCTTTTCTTTGACAAGTTGTTCTTATAATTGGCCATTAAATGGCGGATGCAATAACTGTGATATGAACAAGGGAAGCAATTCTTGACGGAATTTTGAAGTCCTTTGTCTCGATCAGAGATTATAACCAGCTCATCATTCGGAGTATATGGATCATCTGAATTGTACAATACGTCACGAATGCATTCAAGGAACCACTCCCAATTGCTCTCATTCTCGGTTCCACAAATACAAAGAGCGACAGGAAACATTCCTCCATCTCCATTCAAAGCAGTAGCAGCAAGTAGAGTTCCCTTGTACCTATCAAAAAGATGGGTGCCATCCAAGAATAAAATTGGTCTACATCCCTCGACAAAACCCTTCCAACAAGCATAATATGAGATAAAAAATCTAGTAAATCT